GGGGGGGGGGGGGGGGAATTCTGGGAGTTGAAGCCCACTCATCTTAAAGTGGCCAAGTTTGGACAACACTGCTATACAACATCAAGGGGGGGTTATTTTGAGCTTCTTTCTCATGCTTCCTTTAATTTCTGGACTGGGTCATCTCTTCTCCGTGTCGCTCCTTTAACGGCTCTCTCACACCTTCCATGAGGTGAGCTCCAAATTCCTTTGAACCACCCCCATCCTTACGAGATGGCTTGTTTGTGCAAGCTACTATTTATTCAACAACCCAGGTTATTCAACAACCCAGGTTTAAACAAATTATGGCTCGTTACAATGCGTGAGCCAGTCTAAAATACGCGGCATCAGGGTGCCTAACCTAGGGAAAGCCAGTTCAACTTATACGAGGGAGACCTGGCCCCAAGTCCGCACTCACCCAGGGGAGATCCTGACTCCACTTAGGCCCAATCTCTCCCTCGCTATGTTTAGCCTACCTCACAGGGTTGGTAAAATAAAACAGGGAGAACTTTTGAAATCATTATTTCTTGGCAGAAAGGCAGACCAGAAGTCGCCATCAACAAACACCCTAGTTTTGCACATCGCGTTCCCAAGTTGTCCTGAGGTATCCAACAATCACTGAGCAGGCCCAAATGACCTTGGCTCCAGGGAAGGCTTCATTTTGCTTGAGCTTAATCCTCATCTCAGTGTACCCGGAGCAGCTTCCGATCTGAAGCAGAGGGCTGGGTCCGGCTTCTTCCCTGGGGGAATCGCACAGCTCGGCCTCCTGGGTAAAATGGAGATCAAACTTCCCTAAATACGGCGCAGGGGACTCGCAGCACCGCAGCTGCCACCCAACAGGGACAGACAAGTGTTCCAGCAGACCCTCAGCTACCCCTCCCACCCCGACGGGAAGGGAATCTCCCACAAGGCCATACCTTCGGGCCCCGGGCACTGCCCTCACCAAATTCCTCATAGTAAAGCAAGACGCCGCTCAGCTGCAGGAACTTTTGTACAAAGGGCGGAGGCTGGTGGATGTCGACTGGTAGCGCCTGCCCAGGATCCCGCACCACTTCATCGCAGTAGTCCAACCTGTAAAGGGAGGAGGGGGATGCTCAGAACAAGACACCAGCCATTTCCCACCATACGAAGCCGAGTCATTCCTGGTTTGGGGCAGGCATTGGCTGCATTCACCCGTCACGCCTACCCAAGTTCCTGAACTGACTCATTTCCTGGGTCCGCCCAGGACATTAAACTGAAACCTGACCCGGCAGGCTGGGTTCTCCCAACACTGCCTGCCCCTCAATCTAACCCAAATGAAAAGTAGCCAAGCCTTGCATGGCGTGCAACTGCAGCCACTCGGTTGTGAACTGCTCTGGCTAAACCTGTTGTGTGAACTCAACCTTGGGGTGTAAAAAAACAGGGTTTGGGATTGAACACGTTGCCTGAAACTGGCCAGTTGTTGCTTATCCTACAGGCCACAGGTTAAGCAAGCAATGGCTTAGGACAACAGATGAACCAGATCATTCTCACCTGAGCCAGGGAGGGGCACCAGAACTGCTTAGCAGCCCCTGGGTGCCCTTTGACCGCACCGGGTTTTGCAGTTAACCTCCCTATTGGAGCTCCACAGGTAGCCAAGATATGATCTTCCCCCAATGCTGCCCTCCAGACGCATTGAGGCTCCAACACCCAGAATCCCCCAGCCAATGTGGCTCCTAGAAGTGTCCCTCCCTTCTTGCTCAGTGCCTTTCTTGAAGTAGTTAAAAAAAAACTCTTGAGATGCTTCCCCCCAGAAAAGAGCCCCCCAAAAGTCAAAAGAGCAAGCCCATTCGGGGAAGGAAAAAAGCTGACCTCTTGATGTGGATTTCCAGGGCCACACCGGCTGCCTCCCCACTTCTGGGCGTGTGTTCCACACGTATCACCGTGTCCAGAAAGGTCACTTCGATCCTTCTCAGAACTGGGAGAAAAACAAGATGCCAAGGATGATCTGGGCTGCAGAGCTCGGAAAGTCAAGCCCTCTTCACCCTTCGACGCCCAGGACACCCGTTGCCTCTTATGTTCTTAATAACGGATGTTCCTTGCACCACAGCTGGGCTGCCACTCTGGGGAGGGGGCCACCACTGAGACTGAATTCCTGCACTGTCCTTCGACCCCTGAGATCCTACGATTCCACCCCAGGCCTTCTCTGATTCTCTGATTCCATCTCAGACACACTTCACAGCGCTTGCTCCCGGTGCTGTGAAATAGCAACTCTGGACCAAGACCGAAAAGACCTAACAGGGAGATGGAAAGCTGGGAAACCAAATGCACAGTTTGCACTTCATGCTAAGCCATAACCTGGTTTGGTAGCCATTTCAAGGCACTCCTGAATCCGAAGCACGGATTAAGGAAACTGACCTCCACCGGATTCCCATCCTGGAGACCAGGACGTTCAAGGGGGCATGTGAGTTACCACAAGTTCACTCCAACCCTTGGTTCATGTCCAGGATGCTACTGTTCAGGGTCTTCTTATTTTACCCCTCTTTTATTACACTGGTTGGGAATGGGGGAAAGATACAGGATAAACCGGTGTTTTTCAACCTTGAAGATGTTTGGACTTCAACTCCCAGAATTCCCCAGCCAGCATGCTGTAAGATTTGTGGACCAACTCCCAGAATTCTGGGAGTTGAAGTCCACACACCTGAAAGTGGCTGAGGTTGAGGAACACTGTCCTAAACCATGGCTTTCAGCTTAGCACACTGACAACACTGTCTACAAACGTTCCGAAGCGTCCAGCCATAGGACCTGGTTTGAACAGCACTCTGCATGAGCTGGGTATGCAACCCCCCCAGCTTGCATTCACAGGACACCAAACCAGCAACTGGCCAACCACCCCCAGCCTGGTAGGTTGTGCAAACCCAGATTATGTGGATAATTGTTGGTTCAGACCACCAAACAATCAGAAAATGGGGCTAACTGCATAATCAGGGCAGTGTGGGGAAATGTGAATTCTTTTCAAGGACCTTTTAGGCTAAAAGAGTTGCCAGATATCAGGCAAAAGAAGGACACGCCCTCTTTTTCGTCCACACGTCCTCCGTCAAGCAGAATAGTCTTAAAATCAAATATTGTCTGGATTTTTGAATGTCTCTCTCTTTTTTTGTTTGGACTGTTTTCACAACAGTAGTCATCCAAGCTTTCGTGTGATCCAACCTTGTAAATTGTCTGCTTCTCTTTGCCTTGTCTGTTGACAGCCTCAACAGCCTAGATTTATGCTATTTAATTTATTTCCTCATTCCAGCCATCGGCTTCAACCCAGCTCTTTCAAACCTATGATCACTGCCGTCTGGAGATTACACGACCTGTCATACATTTCTATGGTGAAATCCGAAAAGCGTGTCGCCATTGATTCTATATTATTGTTAGTCTATATGCTTGGAAATAAAGATTTCTTGGAAAAAATATTGCTACTGAAAAACCAGTCTTTCTGATGCTGGAAAAGTAATTTCATACACGTTAGCCTAAGTACTTTCTTTTTGCAGCTTTTTTGCTGTAATTTTTGTTGTGGATACCAAGAAAGTTAGACAGTGTGTCCACTTCCCCCCACCCCCAATTTGTCCTCGTTTCCAGCTGTCGGTGTCCTCCTTTGCCTGTTCAGATATCTGGTAACCCTACCTTTAGCAGCACCCTGGAAATCCCTAGGCAGAGGTTACCAAACCAAGAGATGCCCCTCTGCACCCTTAAAAAAACAGAGATGGAAATCAGAGCAGGCCAACATCCCCCAGCCAGAGCCTGCGCGTGGGTTGAAAGCGCTTCTAACGAGGCCTTTGTCCCCTTTGGTCAAGCCCCACGTGGCTGGGCAAGCCAGAACTACAGAGTTCTGCCAGGTCTCTTTAATCCTCATCTGGGTTAAATACTGAACCTTGGAAACAATAAGAGGAATTTCCCACTTGAGTCAATTAAGTGAGTCAATCAAGGCAAAGTCTCTTTGGATGGTTTGAAAGGCTTCTTCCCCATTTCCTTCCACCTGGGCAGAGCTGCCATCTACGAGCTGAGCTGCCAACTGACCCACCCACTCTATGTCTCTTGATTGCTTCAGTCTCTTCCTTCCACTCCTTTCTCAGCCCCCCCCTCCCCCCTTTAGCCCCACATCCACCTGTTTCAATGGTCTGGGCAAACATCTCCAGGCCCTCCAGGGGCTGGGTGGCATCTGACGGCTCTTCAGCCTGTTCCTTCAAGCACTCCTGGGCCAGCTGCATGCTGGTGGTCATGCATGACGCCCAGCTTTGGGCCTCGGAACCAGAGTTCGCTGGGGGAGAAGAAGGGTTGGGAAGGAAAGGTCAGACACACAGGCAAGGGAGCTGCTAGGGCAGCAGGACCCCCCTTCCCCGCCAGCAGGCCCCCACAGCTCTGCATCTCTCCCTGCAGCCCCGTTCCCCGCTCTGGCTCCCACCTCGACGATATTTGGGCCGACACGTGACCTGCAGGCCGCTCACTTCCACAGTGCAGTTCTCAGTGACTAAGGCAGACCAGGGGATGGTGACGGCAATGCTGTCAATGAAGCCATCCAGGATTTCCAGCGGGGCCCCCACGGACTCCAGGAACTCATTCACAGACTGCAAAGGGGAGACAAGGCAGCGGGAGGTGGTCAAACAGCAGAGAGCGGGCCCAAATTTATCCAAGCAAAACATCCTACTAAGATACAGAAGACGTGGACGCAGAGAGGAATTCAAATGTGTCACACGGAGGGCTGCCGTTTCCTGTCCCCCCTCCCAGCAACATCAATGACCATCATGATATGATCTGTGCCCTGCAGATCTTATAAACCAAACGCTGACACAAGAGAAACCAGAGGAGAAAAGGGGACCATCCGGTTATTTCAGTAAGGCGGGACACACACTGATTTCTTTAAGGAGCTGGCTGGGGAATTCTGGAAGTTGAAGTCCACATATCTTAAAGTTGCTAAGGTTGAGAAACACTGTGCTAGATACCTGGCAAAGATGAGCTGGTGGCATCTTCTTTGAAACTTGACACGACACCCATCTTTTTCATTAAGTGCCTGGCACAGATAGCCCAAAATAAAATAAGCCTCACCCAAAATAGTCCACTGAACAAATTTGGGAACATTTCAAATATTCCACCATAGGAAGCAAGACTCTGCTCCCTTGTGTTTTTCCCTAGGGTCATGAAAGCAAGCGGAGTACTTAATCATATTGAGCACTGTCTATATTCCACAGAAAAATTGACCAAGGGGATGATTTTTAATTGTAACAAAGAAACTTCTAATAGTAAACAGGCAGCAGACCACAAATGACTTTTATTGTTTTCTAAAGGAATGTTAAAATACTGGCTTGGTTGGTCCAGAAAACCAACCAATAAATTCTGGTTACGAACTATCACAGCTGAGATCCCATAACTCATCAAGCTAAAACCAAAAAAGTACACTATGTCTAGATTTGCACAAAAGCTCCACCAGTTCTGTTAAAGGCACGGCAGTGAATATTTGCACAATGTACAAAGCTCAGCAGTGCTATTTTTGCACGTGGCTCGGCACGCTGTGCAAGCTCCACCTCCTTGTTTATGATTCCCAGAAAATGGGTTAACTGAGTAACCAAGTTAAGCTTATTGCTGCATAGCAAGAGAAGGGCTTTGGCTCAGAGAAAAAGGATCACAATCATCTTGGGCGCCCACAAATATAAATTGAGACACGCCCAGAAGCAAAGGCCCAAATTTGCAGCTGTTGCTCCAGGCTGGCGTTTTCTTTTGGTGGCCAATCACCTCTTCCATGCACAGACACATTTGGCTTTCCTTGAGGGCAAAGACATCAACATCCCGTTTTTGCAGTCACTTCAAAACCAGGCAGTGAGACAACAACAGTGACGTGGAAAGAGAGCGCATGAGTCGGTTCTATAAAAACAAACATCCCAAATTCCTCTCCAGCTACTTGACACTTCCGGGAGTGTTGCTCCATCAGATGCTTGTTTTTCTTGTGCTCAGGGCTGGCTGAAGGGGCAGCTGAATCGCGCCAGGTCACCCTGTCCACGGGAAACGGGGCAGCAAGGCACCCCTCTCAGCTTCTCTGCTAGAATCTGGCAGGCTTCACACATCACGCCAACCTGTAACCCAGTCTAGTTTGGAGTTCACGTATGGAGCGAACATGGCCGTGAATCCAGCCCCGTGCCAGAATGCAGCCAGGGGAAGGGAGGTGGGCCTGGGGAGAAGCAGGAACGTGAGCTAATTAATACCCCGTCTTCTCAAATGAATCAGAAGGCCACCAGGACACAGTCCTGCTAACCCCAAGCTATCCTCAGGCCGCCACTTGTAATTTCTTTCTGGAAACCTAAAAATAGGCGAGGAGGATGACTTGCACAGATAATTATACTTGGGAGGCCTTTCTCCAGGCAAGACAAGGAACTTTGGAGCACGTCAACGCCTCCCCTTTCCACCTTGGACACACCAAATCACAATTTCCCGTTTCGTCAGGTTAATTGTTCCACAGTTGGCACCACCACATCCCAACATCTGCCATCTCCCTCACCCGAAACACAAGAGCCTCAGTGCAGAAGCAGCTGTTATGGGGCAGAAGAACTGACCCTTTTTTGGAAGTCCCTAACTTTGAGAAGGAGGGGGGTCATGATCTGGATGGGAAGCCAAGATGCTCCAGTCATTCTTGGCAAGAAAGGAGCTTGCACAAGCAACTCCCCTTATTTTTAGGGCACATCAGAAACACTTGGGGTTCCTTCTTCTCCTTCCTTCTTCCACGAGATTCTCCTTCCCATGAAGCTCTAACAACATCCCTACTTCACAGAAGGCCCCGTCAGAGTGAAGGCAGTGGCAGCTCGTGCTCAATGCCTCTTTGAAAGAGACCCCATTTTTCTCTTTCAGTTGACCCCTTTTTCAGAGCCAAGGAAATCAATGGCCATACAGACCAGGTCCACACATTTCCCTATGCCACAGCTGGTGGACCCACAGATTCCCAAGCAAAACAATGCCCGTTGGGTTCACACAACTCATTGACCAAATAATGCAAACCCAGATTAGGGTTGAGGGCCCTGTGTTTGGAAAGCCTTTTCTCCAGATGGACGCCTTCAGGTCAACCCTCTGCTCCCTATTCACCAGCAGCCCTTTCTACGAGCTTGCAGTTCTACGAGAGCTGTTCCGCACAACAACTTCCCAAGAAGTTTCAGCCTGTTGCCCCAGATGCTTGGAAGGTATTTTAGGAATCACTTTGTCCAACCTAACAGCCTGTGAGGTCCGGACAACCAGCAGGGAGACCCAGGTGCTAGTCCATCCTCAGCCTCATAAAGTTAATTGGGGAACTTTAAGCCCATCGGCCCAACCTACCCCACAGGGCTGTTGTGGTGGAGAAAAAAAGAGCAGGGCTGGCACGTACCCTACTTTGAGCTCCTGTACAAAAGGGAGAGTAGAAATCTAACCGAGAGATGAACGGATCTAACCCATAAATAAACTCACTGTCCAGAAAGAGTACAAAGGGCCAAACAGATAAGGAGCACCTACTTAGTTCATGATTTGCTAGATCAGCTTGTAACTAGTTGGAGAAGCTGGACTAAGTTTCTCCAACTCTCCAATACACTCAGACACCTCAAAGCCATCTCGCTGGGGCTGGTCGAGGTCAACCTTGGTCAGGGTCTTAGGCAGATTTACAGAGTAAACCCAACCCACTGCGGTAGTTTAGGGTGTAGCGTATGGACCAGACTCAGAAAATGGCTTCATTCAGTCCCTGATTTAAGCTTACTGGGTGAATGTAGACTGATTGCGGAGCGCACAGACAGCATTTCCCAACCGGATAACCTCCTGTTATATTGGACTTCAACTCCCAGAATCCCTAGCAGGCAGCTCACTAGGAAGCAGTAGCTAGCCAGATGGGCTAAGGCTTCTGGGAGTTGAAGTCCAACATATCTGGAGAGCACCAGGTTGGGCAGGGTGTCTTCCCAGAATTGCTAGCAAACAGCCAACTAGGAAGCAGTGGCTAGCCAGAGGGCTAAGGATTCTGGGAAGTGAAGTCCAAATGCTTGGAGGATGCTGGGGTAGGGGGGGTTGGTCAAAGGCTTGGTTAGAGCTGGAGCCAAGCGCTGCTTTTCACTGAAATGTCTCCTCTTTTCTTTCCTTTCATGTTGAGTTCTGATTGAACATTAGGAAAAACATCTTAATTGTAAGAATAAGAGGCAGGGGACTCCTTTTGCTGGATTCTTGCACAGACCGTGTGTGCGTGTCTTTGCAACCTCTGTAGTGAACGCAGCCCGGATCGCACCACTACCCTCAAATAAACCCAGCCCCGCTGTTCTCTTGCAGCTGCCATAAACAGGAAATACCTTGAACTTTGAAGAAACTCCATGAAAAACGGCATGTTGAGACTCAGAGCCCATTCCTAGCAGAGCACATCATGGTCCAAAGAGGGCCGCAGGCCCAGCTCCACCAGACCCCCCTGCCTCACAGGGCTGTTGTGAGAATGAAGAGGGGTTCCCCCCCCGGAGTCTTACCACCCTCTCTCAGCCCAAACCATCTCTCTCCTGGGCTCAGCCTCTCCCACCTCACAGGGCTGTGGGGAAGAGATTTTAGGCACGCTAAAAATCCAACTACTCTCCACCTTTTAGCAAAAGCCGTTATGGGTTTTCAAGGGAAACCCACCCGGCAGGACTGTTGTGAGAGGTACCAGTGGGGTGTGTGTGTGAGTTCTTGCTCTCCCTCACAGGGCTGTTGTGAGAATACATACCCCAGGCAAGGTGCAGGTGTTTACACAGCTGTTCTCTCTCTCTAAAAAGCTATACGCATCTGTACTCACCCATATATATAAGTATTTTATAGCTTTCCATACACAGATACCCAACAAATCTATCACTTTGTGTTCATTGTACTGTATGAGTGTACATCTCTGCCTCAATAAATCCACTACACACATGTACAAAACATGCACACACAGATTTCTACACACACCTTAACTTCAATATATCTCTGTATCTACAGGCATATGATAGAGCAGTGTGTTTCTCAACCTTGGCCGCTTGAAGATGGGTGGACTTCAACTCCCAGAATCCCCCTTGCTGGTTGGGGGATTCTGGGAATTGAAGTCCACCCATCTTCAAGCAGCCAAGGTTGAGAAACACTATATGCCATGGATTGGTGCACCCCTTCCTGTGTATCCCCAACACAACCACCTCTTGGATGAGTCGACACTACACCCCCCCTCACTCCCAGCCCCTTAGGCAGCTGCCTCTCCTGGAAGGGGGGATTATGGGGTTTGTAATCCCAGGAAACCTCGGGGCGGAAGGGGCGGAGGGCTCGGTAGGCCGCGAGCAGAAAAGCGGAAGCTCTACCGGTGGGCTTTCTGCCTGCCCGGGAAGCCAGTGAGAGAGCGGGAGCCAAGCCAGCCGAGGCGCCCGCTCTCTGCCCTTCCCTTCCCTTCCCTTCCCTTCCAGCCGGGAAGAGGCTCACCCAGACGTCGAGATGGAGGCGGGTGAGGCGGCCGGCGCCCGCGTAGAGGTCGAGGCTGAGCTGCTCGAGGCCGAGCCGCTCCTCCAGGAAGTGGCCCAGGTAGTGCTGCAGCAGGTAGCGGCAGGCCCGCTTCTTGATCGAGCTTGACCACGGGAAGAACCACCGGGACATGATGACGGCGGCGTTGTCGGAGGAGGCGGCCGCCGCCCGCGGCACTTCGCCCGGCCGGCGCGATCACTCGACTCCCCGGCTCCGCACCCGGCTTCTCTTGCTCTCTAGGCCCGACCTGCTGGCCGACGGGGTCGCTCATTGGCCGCGCCACCCCTTTGCTCTCGCTTGATTGGTCGCTCGGCAGAACCCGCGGGTGACGTAGGCGAAGGAGGCGGCGACCTGAAGGCGAGGAGATGAAAACACACCACCGGGGGGCGGGGCGCGAAAGAAGTTCCCCTTATCACTAGAAGCAAAACATAGAAGAGCAGCCCATCGCCTGTAGGAGAAGGCACTTCCGGGCTCCCGAAGAAAACATGATTTTTGCTCTTCGTGAAGAGCGCGGTTCAGAGCACCGGTGGTGCAATTTGGAAGGTTTGGCTTTTGGCCTTTGGCCTGAGTGGTTGCGAGCTTCCCTTCTTAAAGACGGTCATCATTCTGACCTTGAAGGCTTCCAAGAGCTGCAAAAAGGCAGGATGAAAGTGATCAATTCCGAATACAGCAAAAAACTTGAAATGATTTACCCAAATGGCCATCCTGACTGTCAAAAAACGAGGAAAAACGGGAAACGTTGTTAGGGAGAGCAAGGACCAGCCCAGCGCATCCACTGTAGCCGGGTGCTCATGTCAGCTGCTCAGCGGCTGAGTTCACACAACATGTTAAACCCAGGTTGGCGGAAGACAGGGCTGCCATTGCAGAACATCCAGTCCCCAAAATAATAAAACCGGATTCCGGCTTCACACCGACACACAGTCTGGTGGTTACCACAAATGACTCAGCGCCATTGTAGCCTTGACTAACGTATTGTCAGAATCCACGGTTTTTGGCAGTGCCTGTCTTCAAAGCCGGTGGGGGCTTCATAGCACAGGGTTTGTCAGCGGGTTGTGTCAGCGGCCACAGCTTCCAGTTCCCTTGGCTGGATGTCACACTGGTGTAGGGTTTCTTTCGCAGTGTCTTTGTAGCGCTTGCGTGGTCAACCTCGAGGTCTCTTCCCGGATTCCAGTGCACTATAGACCAGTGTTTCTCAACCTTGGCCGCTTTAAGATGGGTGGACTTCAACTCCCAGAATTCCCCAGCCAGCTTGCACTGAAGTACAGCTGGTGCCAAATACCAGCCCCGTAGAACAGTGTCCCTCAGCCTTAGCAACTTGATGATGGGTGGACTTCAACTCCCAGAATTCCCCAGCCAGCTTGCACTGAAGTACAGCTGGTGCCAAATACCAGCCCCGTAGAACAGTGTCCCTCAGCCTTAGCAACTTGATGATGGGTGGACTTCAACTCCCAGAATTCCCCAGCCAGCTTGCACTGAAGTACAGCTGGTGCCAAATACCAGCCCCGTAGAACAGTGTCCCTCAGCCTTAGCAACTTGATGATGGGTGGACTTCAACTCCCAGAATTCCCCAGCCAGCTTGCACTGAAGTACAGCTGGTGCCAAATACCAGCCCCGTAGAACAGTGTCCCTCAGCCTTAGCAACTTGATGATGGGTGGACTTCAACTCCCAGAATTCCCCAACCACCATGGTTGGCTAGGGAATTCTGGGAGTTGAAGTCCACCCATCATCAAATTGCTAAGGTAACAATGGAAGCGAATATGGTAACACCCAGCTGACAAATGTCAACAGCTTCAAATACTTGGGAAGCACCATTTTGAGCGATGGTCTTTGGGCAAAGAAATTGAAAAGAAGCTTGCTGGCTGGGGAATTCTGGGAGTTGAAGTCCACCTTTCTTAAAGCAGCCAAGGTTGAGAAACACTGCTATAGAGCAACTGGCGAGGCATATGGTGGTCATCCATTCGGATGATATGTCCCACCCACCACATCTGGCCTCTGATAATCAAGGACTCAAAGCTGGTGGACTCTGCATGGTCCAAGACCTCCAGGTTGGAGACACGGTCTTGCCAACAAATGCCAAGGATGGAGAAGAGCGCGCGCATGTGGAATTTCTCCAGCTGTTTGATGTGCCAGGACTCTCATCCATCTAGGAGAGGAGGGATAACCACAACTCTGTAGACTTTCAGCTTTGTGGAGATACAGATGTCATGTTGATTGAGCACTCTAGTGTGTGGCTGCCCCAGGGCCTGGCTGGCCTGGCTGATCCTGGAGTCAATTTCTTTGCCCAAAGACCCATCGCTCAAATTGGTGCTTCCCAAGTATTTGAAGCTGTTGACATTTGTCAGCTGGGTGTTATCTTAGCAATTTGATGATGGGTGGACTTCAACTCCCAGAATTCCCTAGCCAACCATGGTTGGCTGGGGAATTC